AAGCCACTTAGTGACAGTAGCGTGAGTCTCGATTCTCTACACATCGTAGTTTGCTTCCAAGGACTCACATATGATTAGATAAAAAAAAGAAAGAAATTGGAGTAAAATAGCGAATTTGCTTGTCAAATTAATAGAATTTAATTTATATTATTTAATTTTTATCATTATAAATTTTAAGATGACACTTTCATATCATGCGTTGAAAATATCGCTTGACTAACTTGCAGAATGGAAGCGGCGAAGTCTCGGAATCCGCCAGTACTAGCAGTTTGGGTAGCAACAGCTCGCACAGCAAGGCGCCAGGCGCTCAACTACACAATTCCAATAATACCAATTCCGGCATAAATGCGGCCGCGCAGCAGAAACTTACGAGCATACTTTACAACCCTAATTCTCTTATACAAGTTGTAAGTTTTGTTTTTTGGACATAATACTGTAGGTCGCAGAGCGATATGACAATACTTTTGAGAATGAATTTAGAGTAAGAGACGAAGGACCGTTAAAGTTTCGCATGAGGATAAATAAAGTTTAGATGCAATTAATAAATTATATTAAAGTGTACATATACAGAGTGTCTCAAATTTTTTTGACACCATTTATGAGCAGGTAGAGCGGACTAAATTGAGAGTCGAAAAGTTCTCTACCGTGAATGTAAGTAACTTGGGACAGCATGTATTTTTGTTAAATTTAATCGTATCCATCCACACACACGCACATGCGCGCACACACACGAATCTCTAAAGAAAATTTAAGTTTTAAATTTTTTTTAGTGATTCATGGATGGATTCCATGATTGAATTTAACAAAAGTATAATTTAATGCTGTCCCAATTATACCTACACTGTCCCAAGTGACCTATATTTGCGGTACCATTTTGCAATTTTTTTTCAGTTACCAATGAACAGAATGTCTAAAATCGACACATAAAACAACTTTAAGATATCTTTAAAAGTTCTTTAAGGAACATCTTCAAGATTCTTATTTCCTATTTCCTATCGGTTGGACTCTTCACATGTACGGTCTAATAAGATTCTTATTATTTATATTACGTCGCCTGAAAGAAAGACGTTGTTTCCATATATATACTGATTATTACGAAAAATATTACTAAGGCCTTGGTAGTCTAAAGGCTTAGGACGCTCGCACGGAATGCTAGAGATCCGGGTTAGACTCCTGGCCGAGGTAATATTTTTCGCAATAAATAAATTTATTTACAGATTTTCAGCGTATTAAAGGGGTTTTTACGTTTTAGGGGTAAAAAAATCGATTTTTTTGCTTTTTTTGAAAACTTATAGTCTTAAGAATATCCCATAAAAATAAAAATTTACTTAAAATAAAAATTTATAAATAACTTTTGAGAACTTTCTTACAGTATTTTGAGTCGCGAATTTTGAAAGACCGTAAATTATATATGTACATATGTACATTCATAATTTTATATATGATATGATTGATATTCATGCTCTTGATGTTGATTTCGATAGAATGAAATTCGGAAGCAAATGGTCGCCATCGACAGTGATCCATTATTAACTAAAGCTGAAAAGGCCCAACAGAAACATAGTCTCTATATTGCGTATAATTTGAACGGGACATTAGGCAGTCATTCATTAGCAACCACTGTTTCACCACTTTCAAATTCGTTCTACTCAAACGATACTGTGGAATCTGTAGTAGGTAAGTGTATACGATATTATTCATGTTTATGTTTACATGTTGTACAATAACTAACAATTTGATACCTTTTTTTTTTTTTTCAGGAAATGCATTAGATGAGTTACATTTAGACGATCCGTTAAATTTAGTCGACTCAATTCATAGGGATACAAATTCACCGATTGGCAATTCAATATCAGCAGGCCTAGCTAGCTCCGGTCTACTCGGTAGCTCAGCCCCAGTCAATATACCGGGCATGGCTGAACGTTCAGTTCTCACCAATTTTTCGCCATCGACGTCGAGCCCCCTTCAACAATTACAGACTGGTTTTCTCACCGGATCGAGATTCTCTCATCAAGATTCCATGGAATCCGTAAGCTGATTTTATTTCTGTCCGCCGTATTGTGAGAAATATCGAGTTGTTTTACTAACTTGATGTTTTGTTCGGATTACTTTCAGACATTGCCATTTATAAATCAAATATCAGATCCATTTAGCAATCACATTTCGCAACTTAGCAGCTCGGCTTCTAAGCTTAGTGGATTCAATAGTAGTTTATTCGATTTTGCGAGCCAAGGAATGTCACCGTCGCGTACGCAACCCACTCTACCGGCATCTCCATTGGTCAATGCATTTTCCATTAGTCCAAGTAACACAGGATCGTTGTCCGAGGTTAGAATTGCACGATCTTAAAGAGTTTCTCTCGGATATGCTATTGAAAATGAATCGTGGTGTATCGGTCATATATATATATATATGTGTGTATATATATATGCATGCGTATTTGTAGGTACAAAGGCTCAGAGACGAACTGTCCTCGAGCCGCGCTCAATTGGCAACATGGGACGAGCGTATCAATCAAGCGCGCGCGGCTTGCGCGGCGTGGCAAATGGAAAGCGAGGAGGCAAAGAGGAAGGCGACCATCGCCGAACAACAAAGAGACGAGGTGAATATCTCGCCAAATTTAGCGTGGTCCTCTCTCTCGATATTAAAATCTCAATTTGCCGTGCTCCAGAGAAGGGATTTTTTGCAGGCACTGAAAGCACTCAGAGTCGAGAACAAGGCGTCCAATAGCGGCCCGTATCTCCATTCACTGAGGAAAATAAGCGAGCTCAGATCACTATCAATAGCTACCTTGAAATCAATTCAATCACAATTGCGCTCGGATCTCGAAGAGGTAGAAAAGGTAAAAATTCTTGTTACAGCTAGAACAAGTCAATGTCTTTCAAGTGAATTGGTATGGCTACAAAAATAATAGAATACATATATCTTATTGTCATTATTATATTGTCAGGTGCTGTACAGAGAAACGGCAACAAAATGCATGGTTTGCGAAGAACAAAATCGTACAGTTACTCTATCCTGCAATCATTATGTGGTCTGCTCGACATGCGCCCAAAATCAGCGCGAGTGCCCGTACTGTCAGACTCCGGTTGTTTCAACAAGTTAAACCCAAACCTTTTCTTAGAATCCTGTTGTTACAATTTCTGCTTCTCGTCCCTTAAAGAAAAAAGAACGAAGAGGCGATACCAGCCGCAAACTCTGAAAGAATATCATGTGAGTAGTATTACGATTTTGCGAGAACTTGTGTATTTTTACTCTGGTACAGTGACAAAACTGAAAACACGTTTTTTTATCGCGGTAAGCATGTACTCGCAAAAGTACGATTGATTTATCGCCAAAGTGAGTACGAATATGATTAGAATCTTTATTGGTGTAATCTTAAATTACATTGACATTTTTCTCTCTCGATATATATACATATATGTATATTCAGTGAATATCACAATTTTTTAAATGTAACGCTCTCTGAAAAGCAGCGTTAGCGATCCTAAAAAAAGAAAAAATAAAGATGTTTTATTTTATACATAATTCAAGAGATAAATATCTAGCAGGGTGTTAATTATACACATTTAGCGTTTATAACGCAAATATATGCGAGTTACAGAACATTTAGCGCGCGAGAACAATATAATCGCAGTTGTGGACAAAGTTTCGGGACCTCGAAAACTATATAATAATTGTTTAAAGAAAAATTAATAATATTAATAAACGCAACAAAAAAGTCTCCCATTTGCACTAAAAAATAATGGGATGATTTTTTTTTCTCGATGGTTGAGCTGTGAAACGTATGTCACAGAAAAAATGATATTTCTATTATATTTAAATCTATATATTTAATAGGATTTTCCAATTGATTCGTACTGAATGTAATAATATAAGTATTAACAAATTTTATATTTTTCGTTGAAAACCTAATATTGAAGATATAAATATTATATAAGAGGTGTATGTATATATATAGGTATGTATGTATATAGTATATATACCTATATATACATACATATATATTATATAATTTCTAGGTTTTTATATATCTAATAACAAATATTTCTCATATAGTTATATAAAGAATATGGGAGTTTACAAAACAACCGATAATTAGATAGCGCTAAAACAATTTTATTATATAAAAGGTATTATATATATCGTTTGTTTTTCTTTTTTTTTTTATCTATCGATGTTACTACCGCTTATTTTGTTTTCTCATCTTTTTCTATTTGTTCTGCCTTTCGTCACATACATTAGATACATCGACGCAGTTTATTGAAAAACATTTACACTTCGGACACATCGATCGAAGTTTACAATGATGAATATTTTTAACAATTTTACGTAAAATACGCTTGCTTTCTTTCGTTCCGTAACGTGGCTTGTACACGTTTCGTACTTTCTATAACACAATTTACTTTTAGGTCTTAAATATGCTTAATTGTGTACTAGTATTTGCGATGAAGTTATTAGAGGACATTTAAATTAAATAGTGTGTGATAGTAACGAAGAAGTTAATCTTCAATCAATTATTCAATTAGATTACTGAACCAATTACCCTCATTTCGTGTTGTAGGCTTTTACAATTATAGATGTAAGGATGTTAGAGATACTTAGGATTTTTCAATTTAATCAAAAAAATAACTCATAAATAAAAACATATATATATATAAAGATATAATGCATACACAAGTCAAACGTGACATACGTGTTACAGTTCAGTGGCATGCTAGAAGTATGCTAATTAGGACGTGTGTCGAGCACGTCTTATGTACCCGGCTCTATGCGTATATTCATTTTAATGATGTAGTTGTTAAACTCTATGATAAAAAAATGACTATACACTCATGATGAGAAATATATATATATTGCCTAAGATATAAACGATTATAGGATAGATAGGACAGCATTATCAAATTTTTTCCTCGTATAGACATGAAATGTTACAATAATCAATTTTAAAGACTATCTACTTTTATTTAATATACATATATGTAATTACGATTTCGAGAATTATGAAATTATTATTATTAAACTCAAATTTAATACCCCGCACAAAACATCTAAACGATACTTTTACACGACTTGTAAGACATTTACTAGTTTACATACGATTAATCTTCCAAGAGATATAATCGAGAATTATTTTTACTATCTAAACACAAAGGGGTATTGTTATAGCAGACATTTACTTAATTGTGGAATTATCTGACATTCGCAACAGCGTTAGTTGTTATTGTTTTTTGCTTTTTCCTTTATTTTTTTCACTCTTTCAATTACTTTCATAGTTTAGTGTCAAAAAGTGAGGCCAAAAAATAAATGAATGTTTTTATTACGTCAGTTTTTTTATTGCAGATTATTAATATTAAAATATCATAGATGTTATTTAAAAAGAAAAATTACAATTTTCTCTATTATGGTATATATGGTCTAAAGATTATGTAATTTTTAAAAAATTATGCTACAATAGAGAGAATAACGTAGAGATATGTAAAAGTTATTGAAATAAACTTTTCTTTGATGTGCTTTACATTCTTAATTAGATTGAGGATATAAGAAGTAATTTTAGAAAGATAGAAAACCTATTCTCTTTTCATTGTCGACATTTTTTAAGATCTCTACAATATCCAAGTTTTCTTCTTTTATTTCTTCTTTTTTTTACTCTTCCGGTTGATATAATGTTACGAGGTCTCATGAAAGATCTCGCCTCTAATAAGTAGACGGCATATTTTAATTTTCTTAGAGGCCGCATATACCATAACACCATATTCAAAGAACTATTTAATATTTAAGAGAGAAAGATTATAATAATGCATTTTTTTCTTGCGTTTATTCAAATGCATTCTTTATAAGTACGAGAATGTTATAATACCGAGATATATTTATTTCCTTATATCTTTCCTCACATATCCACTTGGCATATTTTGGCACTGTTACGTATATATAAATATTAGTTTTATTATCTATTTAAACAAAAACAAGATGTCAAGCAATTAATGTACTACTTTCAATGTCTCTCGATTTTCATATAGTTAGTGCACTATGTAACTGAGAAGATAAATTTCCAATTGATACATGATTGATATTTATGAATCTACAATAATTGACATGATAAATAATCGCGTTTATTGTAGTTTTGAACCGAATTGTTGAAATCGTTGAAACGAGTACTTATAAAGAATGCGATTTCTCTTTCAATAATATTTCGCGATCGAACTCTTCCTTCTACAGTATTTATATTTAACAAAATGTTACAAATAATGGGATCATACTCGGATCATAACAGTTCTTTGTATACGGAGAGATGTGAAAGAATCTTTTTCGTTTTTGAATAACTGAAGGATAGTTACGATCGCGTTTTATGGAACGTTTAGGAAATCATATTCCTGAATAATAGGATTATATGAATATTACAAACAATTACAATATATTGTACTATTTTACTTCTATAACAATTAAATAACATAATTAAAAATATAAAATATATTAAGAACATAAATTATTGTGAAAGCAACAAATTTAGCTACAAAATAGAGTAATAGGAGAGTAACAAAGTGGATGATTAGCTAATATTATCGTGTAACAAAGAAAACATACAGTTGAATATTTATATACTACTGTCCCCGTTGTTGGTTTTATCAACAATCTCGCACATTTTGGAGCATTTTGATGACATGCGTGTATTATCGTTATACGTTCCATCATTATCAGTCGTACCTAGAAATCAAGCGTTTAATTGGATCAATTTAATAACAATTGGTTCTCATACACTATCGTAGAAATAAAGAAACATGCTGTATGAGCAGCAAAATTCCAAGTCTGTGTGAAGCACCGTTGATATTTCAGGCAGTGCTCGTTAAATCTCATGCTTGCGAATGCAGCTTTCCAACTTGGAACGCGTTCAACTATGTTTACTTCGACTGCACAAAGAAAACCAACAATAGGGCAAAATTAAATTAAACACTATATTTTTGACAAGTTACAATTACAAAACGTTATACGCTCCGTCCTGTGTAAATGATTTCTCCTCTGCGTTGCAAACGGAGGTCGGATCACATTGCAATTGTGTTTGTTTGTGCACTAGTTGAAGATATTATGATGCCCGTTTGCACTCTTTGCGTAAATTACGCATAAGACGACGGGCGGGCGAGAATTCGAGAGCATCGGAGAGAGAAATTATCATCACGGTTCGGACGAGAAAAAAAAACACATAATCATTAGAATATTGTATACTAATGAATTGCGTAAAAAATTGTAATATCTAAAGGAAATTTGCTGAACATTTATATCACAATTTGTAACTAAAGGTACTTGCTATAGACCTGTGTCGTCCTTAATCACTCGTAATTTTGATATAATAATTACTGCATTTGTTATTTTGATAATAGCATGGCTGATCCCTGATATTAGATATCACGAAAATCTCTTCGTTTATTCGTAGCGAGATGTGCGTTCTTGTTTGCAAAAAAAAAAAGGAAAAAATGTTTGCTCAATGTCCGCGAAGACTTTTCGGACATTCCTTATTGTCCCGCAAGAACCGATTATATCAGTAAAAATACAATCTGCTGTGACTCACATTATTATGATTATTATACAGTTTATAATCCTTGAAACAATTATATACATGTATGTTACAGATTCTTTGAGATATCTCAACATTGTCTAGATTCATAGATCAGTTTTCTTCGTATCTATTTCAGTTATCGATTAGTCAATTACGGAACGGTCAATTACGTTACGGTTATCATGATATAATATTCTCAATTATCCTATGTATCAACAATTATAGTTCATTTTTATTAGAATGCAGTAATGACCGATACTTGATCGAAAGACGAGCTTACATGACCTGAATTCAGGCTTGTTTGTTAAAGACACGAGGTAACAAATGGTTGTATGTATAATTGTGATCGCGCTTATAATTAGATCGAATCGTTTGTACACCACTTATCAGTACGTTCTCTGTAGAATCATAACTTCTGCCACAAGTGTACAATGATGATGGAAAATCTTCACGTTGCTTTTACGACACGTTAATAATACTAAGGCCAATATCATCGATGAATTTTAATTCATTAATTAATTTCTAATTAATAGTAGATTCATGTTTTTAACGAACATTTTTCATCTTTCTTATAATTTTAAACGCTTAAATACATAAAGTGATTAATATCACTTGTACGTAACTATTCGCACTACTTTCAGATTTGCTAGAGAAACAAAATATATATTTTAACAATTAGAGCAAGGTATTTTAGCAACCGTAGGAACATTTGAGCGAAACAGAAATTAACAAGAAAGCCACGCAACAGTCATTTGCATCCTCATATTTGATTGCTAATGTTTTCTTAAAAATTAGAAAGAAAAAGCTCGAATCTCAAGTTTTGTAGACGCTCGTCTCGATAGAAAAGAGAACATAAATTGGCCACCCACATAGCCCGCAATAGTTTCGCATATTCTTTAACATTTTGAACAAGACTACGTTAAGCGAGAGAAGAAATGTAAGCGATATTTACATGAAAAGAACAATGTGCAAACAGTGCCATTTTCGGACAGACTTATGAAAGTAATAAAGTTGCGTTCTGTGCGAGAAATGAATGTGATCTGTTAATGTTTCTAATTTCTATAGCTAATTCCGCATTCTCAGGCCGATCATGAGAGAAAATCGCAACTTTGTCGAAATTCCGCATCGTTAAACCGCTGTGATTGCATGCAACAA